GATGTATACGTAGATGTGCCAGATATAATTGATATCTCGCACATGCGCAGCAAAGGCATACAGCCTGGTGAAGAGCTACTACCTGAAGGAGGTTAGACTGTTGTTTATTAGATTTTCAACTTGATCAGATTTTCCCGATTGACTTTGCTGACTGCAACATATTCTTGCAGCTTCTGGTGATAACAAAGCTGAACCTGTTCATCCTGTTGCCAGTGAGGACATTGTATCTCAGCTGGCAAGCATGGGGTTCAATTATCTTCATTGCCAGAAAGCTGCTATTAGTACATCAAACACAGGAGTTGAGGAGGCGATGAATTGGCTTCTCTCACACATGGATGATCCAGGTCAGTATACAAACAGAAATGTTACATATTACTTCTTTGTCATCATGAAAGGATGATTGGCCGTCTTGTAATTTGTAACTTGACCGCTACAAACTTTAATCACCTTTCTGCTATACAGATATCAACGATCCAATATCTAAAGATTCACAGGCTGCTGAACAAACTGTTGATGAAACTAGCGTTCAAACTCTTGTTTCCTTCGGATTTCAAGAAGATGTTGCTCGAAAGGCCTTGGCAGCTTCTGTAATAATCTTCTGTTTTTAATTTCATCCATGATAGTTGATCTTTTACATTTTCTTGTACAGTTCGCAATGTTGAATACCTCTCAGAAAGTTGATATTTGCTTATTTTCATATAATGACCTTTCAAAACTGTCTTAGGGTGTTCCTTTCCCGTTGTCTGCAACCAACCTTTTTGATCGGAGGCTTATGTTTTGTACTTCTAATGTGATAGGGTGGAAATATCGAGAGAGCAACAGACTGGATTTTTAGCCACCCTGAGGCTTTTAGCTCAGTACCTACTGATTCTTCAACAAGCAATATGGAAGATGATGATGCACACATACCAGATGGAAGTGGCAGTAAGTTTTTCTACCCCTTCTGTTTTACTGTTTCTAGTGCCAAGCTTCCAATCTCATGAGCTAATTTCATTAACATTCTGAACTGTTAATGTTGAATTTGTAGTTTGCAACATTTGAAAGATGACTTTGTACATGCCCTGAGCATTTCTGAATAACGATGGCACATTATCGTCAAGAAATGGATGTGGATTTACAATTATATGACCCATGTCCCATCTAAGTTTCCAAGAAAACTTACTTTTTTAATTTTTTTTTCTTTTAAGATATATGTAAAGAAATCCATGGTAGTGAATGATTAGCCAAACCATATAAAAGTAAGCTCCAAACTTGTCTCAGACTGTAGGTGTTTCCAAACCATTGGGTTCAATACTTCTAGATGGTTGATTATCTATCTTCAGTATGTGTGTGTGTTTTGCAGTTCTTGGTTTATTAACATTGCTCTATGCTCTGCAGGATACAAATTGATGGCGTTTGTGAGCCATATGGGCACCTCTACCCATTGTGGGCACTACGTTGCCCATGTCCTCAAAGACGGGAGGTGGGTAATATTCAATGATAGTAAGGTTGCTGCCTCTGTCGACTTGCCCAAGGATATGGGATACCTGTATTTCTTTCAAAGGATATAAAGCATTAGCAGCTGAAAGACTTCACAGGCAAGAAATACATTCGCTCGCTGACTTGAGTCTTAGTTATGGGCACCTATGATCAAAAGCACGGCGGATAGTCGGTGAACTTGCATGCAGATGGACTTAGAGCGAGTGTTGGTCACATCCTGTCGTGCTGACTTTAGACTGATCGATCAGCTGGGATATCACTTTGTTCCATGGCATTATGCATTGGCACATTCAATTCTTCTTTGTCGATCTATCATCTTAGCGTTAACATTCTGCCATGAAAACTTTGGACTGGCTCAACTTTTTACATATGAAATGGAAAACAAAAGGCAAGGGACGGTCCCTGATGCCGCATATATATTTTGCACATTGTAGCAGAGCGCTGGGTGTTAAAAGATTGGTCCTGGACACCAACACCAAGCATCCCCTTCGCCATCTCTCCTTGCCCCTTGCCCTTCTTACCTGGTGAGTTTTTCATTATACCCTTGTGTCCTCTGCTATATCATATGCGTATACAACATACTTGTAGAAGATACTCCTAAGAGATGAGCACTGCTGGTGTCTGGTTGGCTGGCTGTTCTACTTGTCTGTCCCCGCCCATTTTGATTTGACGGCGTGGCCGATCGAGAGGCAGTGCTGGGCGACACGATCGCGCACATGCCGGGGGGCCATTTGGCACGGTTGGCTGTCCCCTGCGCCGGCGACGCCCACACCATGTCTCTGTCGCCGGCCGGGGCCCGGGCCCTCCCACATCGGCTGGCGGCGGGGCAGCAGCCACCTCATGCCGTGCACACGCCGCTGTCAGAATCGCACCCCCTCTATCTCATCTCATCTCATCTTGGGCCCAGCTCATCTCTGTCTTGGGCCTCCTGTCTCGTGCTGCTTCTTGTCGCCTGCCTTCTTGCCTACCCATGCATCCATGCCTTCTCCAAACCAAAAGCGTATACTCCCTTTTCGTAAAATTAGACTTCGTGCGACGTTGGAACTCTTGCCCAATTAAAACCTTCCGCTTCACATTGTCCACAACCTCACCACATTGTAATTCTCACAGCCTCTTCATCATGGTAATTCCAATGAGAGTCACTCGCCTATACGTAATTCGTTGGTGACGATGTCTTCTCTGCCAAGGGTTAGCCGAGTTTGGGGATATGGTCGCACGCCTCACATTACACGTGCTCAATGCAAGCCACCGACGCATTTGCGATACACATCACCTTGGTCACCCCTCACCCGTTAAAATTGAGATAGGCAAGAGCCACGGCTTTAATTGCACCGGCTAGTTGTTCACTTGTTCGGGCCGGCGTCTACATGTCATCTGTCTCCATCAACGTTGTCGTCGCAGCAGTGGGTTCATGTCACGGTCACTCGCCTGGATGCGTGCTAGTGACTGCAATCACATGCACACCTTGCGTCATGCTTTACAAAACCGTACGGTAACCTTTTCAGTTTTTAAAATCATGGTATACCGTGTGGTTACCGTGATAACCGCCAAACCGTGGCGTGGCGTGGCGGTAACCCCACCCTAAACAATTTGGTAAACCTTGGCTTGTGTCATCTGTCTCAAAATATATCAACTTCGAGCGTTAAGAATTTATTTTAAAATATAACAATTTCATGCTCTTATTTCAACTAATCACAGTAGTCTCTTATTTAATTTCCCGGTTTTGACCAATTTCAATGTCTCTTATTTAATTTCGCATATTTTGTTAATACAAGTACAAAACAAATATGCAAGTACAAAACAATTGTACATTAGAAATGCGGATATTTTGGGAAGGAGGGACCGAGGGAGTAGTACTGGTAATTAAAATCTTCGGGTTGCTTGGGCTGTCATCGTTGCGACCCAGCTGCTAGTTGTCATCTGAAGCAACCCTTTTTTCCCAGCATTCCGTGCCTGTCCAGCTTCAGCTTTCCAACCGCCATGGGCCTCACGCTGTTCGATCGACAAACATAATGTAGATGGAGACGTACATATATCTGTTTGACGAAGACTAATTAACACTAGTTGACCCAGGCTTAAGCTAATCAACCACCCAATCAGTTCAAAACACGCAAGCCACATACGTGTGGTGTCTGATCCGAGCACGTAGTAGCTGCTGCTGCTGCTGCTGCTGCAACTTTAGACATATTAATGCTGACAATGCTGGGTAACTGAAGCTTTTGTTCGATGTTTTTGGTTTGTCCAACGCTATTAGCATGTGCTTAATTAATCGTGTAGTCAGCCAGTAGGCTACGTGTCCATGTCGTTGGCTCGATCTGCCTGCGTGTGTGTACCAACACTAGGACAAACCAACACTAGGACGATTAATTCTAAGGTGTGTTTTGGTCCTTTTTGAGACAGCTTCCTTTATGAGGTCCATCTGAAGGCTGCCAACTGTAGTCAGCCATTGTTTTTTTTTCTTTTTTTTTTTAAAAAAACTTGTAGTCAGTCGTGATTCGAATTTAAGACCTCTAGGCTTGATATGCATCTGGCTGACACAAAATAATTGCAGTTTTCACGTCAGCTGTAGTATTGTATTGAAATATAAGTGAATTGCTCGTCTTTTCTTGTCATCTTAATATTCAAGATGAACTAGATCGGTACATGCAACTCTATAATTTGCAAACTCATTATTGTGCAGTCACCCTGCTAGAAACAAGTAGAGCAGCAGGTAGGAACCACTCTAGTATGTGTCCATTGCATTGCATGCATGCAGTGACCTACAGTATGATGCAAGTTCATCTTTTTGGAATTTGTGTCAGTTCCATTTGTATGCATACACTGTTTTCTTTCTGCCACTGATAAGCACTGCTCGTTGAAAAGTACATCCCAAATTATAAGAATCTTTTTTATACGTCTTCAATTATATATTTTGATTATTAATTTATTTTATTTTATGCTCTCCACGAATATGAAATTAGTATCACATGAAAATATTTTAAAATATGAATATAGTGATATAACATTCATAATACTTAGCCTATATATGATTAGTATGCTTACTAGTTAAAAGTTGTCAAAAATTATCAAGTTTGATTTTCCTTAAAAAGAGTGTCTTATAATTTGGGATGGATGGAGTAGTAGTATTGTGCAGTACTCCCTACATACTCGTAAAAGAAGTCGTTTAGGACAGCGACACGAGTCTCCAAAACATAACTTTGACTTCTTTTTTCTATAAAAATATTTATTGAAAAGTGATATATGTATACTTTTATGAAAGTATTTTTCAAGACAAATCTATTCATATAATTTTTATATTTTCAAACTCAACAACTTTATTCATGATTTATATTCCAAGGTTTGACTTAAACATTGTCCTAAACGGCTTTATTTATGAGTATGCTTTAGAGCACCCGCAATGGTAAAGTAAGGTGTTATCTATAAAACATGTACATCTCAGCAATAGACTAGATTAATAGTAAATCATCTCAATAGTATGTCTACATGGGTATCTATAGCTCTCTAATACATTGCCTCGTTTTTCTCTATAGACTATCTCCAGGTTAGTAGATAGCTTTGCTCTCTCTCTTCATTTAATCTCTTCCAAGTAGGAAAATATGCTGACATGGATCTCTTATATAGAGCCTATAGATAACCATTGTGGGTACCCTTATGAGTATGCAGGGAGTACTCCTGCATGAGAGGCGAACACAATAATGATTCACTGCATGTCTCTGCATCCATTCCAAGGAGGGTAGATAACCCAATACTGTATCGGGCATTGTCATTGGATTGCATTGCTTTGCTACTAGCTAGCATAGCAAGCCCAGCCCCAGCCCTGCAACATTCAGATGTTCAGAACGGCATCTGCATCTGCATTACATGCATGATGCAGCTTTCCCCAGTGCAATGGAGTTGATGATGCCTCTCGACCAGCCAGCTATCAGCAGCAGCTGCAGCTAGCAGCATCCGGCACTGTTCCTTCCATCGCTAACCACCTGACTGTTCATCTATGGATGATCATATCCGATCCCCATCTTGTTTGGAATGTACAGTTTGTATATCTGAATCTGATAGATTGATCTGGAGCCAAAACCAACATACAGTAGCTGTAGCATTACACATCAACACCACTGTCCCCCTGCAGTAGCACTGTTGCTTAGCCTAGCTAGCTGCAGCTGCCGGTGCCCCCCAACCTGACTGATTAAACATCGATGATATTATCCCTGTCCCTCCCGGCCAACCCTTCTGCAGTGAAAAGGCCATGCCATGGATTCTAGCTAGAGTACCTCGCTAGCTACCAAGATCAAGCCATTCATGCATGCTGTCTGCATTATGGAGTGGATTGAATAATACTATTAGTTTTCGAGGATTTTTGTCGGAATCGAACTGGTTCATGTGAAAATCCTGTAAGATTCCTGAAGGAGAGGCTTTAGTCTATCACATCCTTTTGTTTCTTTGGAGAGGATCGATGTTATCCTGGGAATTAAACGCTGGACCAGGTTGGTGGATCAACATTAATCAGAAGTTCAGAACAGAGGAGCATTATGGAGTGGATCATCATGTATGCACTCAGCATATGCCAATTCAGATAATTTCAGAGACCATTACGCTTTTGCCGTGCTGGGTGATCGATCGAAATCATGGTTGTGTGTGTCATCTGCCATATGATCGTGCCAGAAAACCCTGATCCTGGGTGGTCCTCTTTGGGGTCGCAGCTCATCTTGTTCATGGCCAAAGGTAGAAGAAAGAGGAGAGATCTAGAGTTATTATTACTGCGTCGCCATTAACTGCGCGTGGTGATTAAGAAGAAATCAATGTGCCTCGTTTGTCCTCCCGTCTTAATTGTGAAATTTACGGCCGTATTTACACACCGGCAATGTGTATGTATTGCTGACTGTCATGGTCAGTCACACACACACACACACAAAGAACAGTAGACAACGACGATGGCATCAAAGTGGCAGCAACTTCTTTTACTGTTTCTGAACCACCATCCTTTTACAGCTTGAAAAGGAGAATAATTCAACGTGAAACCATCTCTCCCTGTTTCATTCCAGCTAGCAGTCTGTCTGCCGTTGTATTTGCATCGTGGTTTTTAGTGAGATGTCAAATACCGCTGGACGATGCTTGGGAGAGGTCAAATCCCAGCCTCTGCATCGCGAGATGCACATAACCAGCCAGTAGTTAGATTCGTTCGGGCTCTAAAAGTTATTTTTGGCTCCGTTATACTAAAGCCAACCAATAGATATCAAATACTTAATGCAGTTAGATTTATCTGGGCTCTAAAAGTTTACTCGGTTCTGTCACGACAACCAGCGTCATATCGTTTCGATCGTTTGTAGTTAGATTTATCCGGGCTCTAAAAGTTCACTCGGTTTTGCCACAACAACTAGCGTTATGTCGTTTGTAGTTAGATTTGTCCGGACTCTAAAAGTTTACTCGGTTTTGCCACCATAACTAACGTTATATCATCTTGTAGTTAGATTTGTCCGGGCTCTAAAATCTTTCTAGGTTCCGCCACGACAGCCAGTGCCATGTCGTCGCGCCTGGCTGTCGTTGGCGGAGTAGAGCTCACTCCATCTCCAGCATCCTATCCTACCCTTCTACTGGTTTTGAGCTTTGAGGCAGGGTTGAGTTGCGTGTGCTCGAGGCGGCCGGCCGGCCATCGTTATCCTCCATGTGGTGTCACACCATGAAACCAAGCAGCAATCCAAATTCCCAATCCGGCACAAACACCTTCATGCGAAAAACGGGATAGCTACTACTACTTGCTACTAATGGTAGGAGACTATGATCTTTTCCAGGGAGTAATTAATTGCACGTTTGTACGAGTGCCATATTGTGGATTTTTTTAAAAGGTTTATATATATATTCAGGCCCGGATTGGTTGGTTCCAGATGAGGTTCAGTAAAGATCAGAAAGCGAAGATTAACCTGCAAAGAAATCATCATATATCCGGTTTTTCACCCATATCCATCTTGCCTTACACATGGTTGCACCTCCTCCTTACAAGTGTTCCAACCTAGCTCCCTTCCATACCTCTAGCTTTCACCATGGCACCTGAACTACAACTACATGCATATAAATCCAGCCACGCGACTCTCCGCGTGGCGGATCCAGGAATTTTCTAGAGCCTAGACAAATACTACACGCGGATTCCGGTTTACGGATAGTGTTAGATAATGAAGCCCGGAAAAATACAGGCCATATATCACAGTGGCGCGACTCGCTGGCGAGCCTAGTTGGCATGCCTACTCTGCAAGAAGATAACAACAAATCGTTGTCTGAAAAAAGATGATAAAAAAAATGGAGATGAGGAGATGAAAAATGAGGTGGCAATGGCAAAATGCCGCGGGCGCCGTCGGTGTCCGGGGCTCCGGCTCGCCCGGCCGGCGTACTGTGGAGGTCGCGGTGCCTGTCCGGGCTCCGGGTAGACAGAAAGGCCCCAATGGAGCCCGCCGTATCTGCTCTGCTACACCTACCCATCCATGTCACCATCCATAGATAGACGATGGCGACGAAGACGGTGAGCTCTTTATTATATAATTTTATTTATGTTTTCTTGAGGGGAGAAGTTTGATTGATCCAAATTTGATCGAAAACCGACGGTTTTTTAATTTCTTTGCTGTGCAGGGATGCGTGCGGATCAAAAATAAAAAATCGGTGGCATTAATTCTTGGAATTGATTCACTGGACGGACAGTGAATATTGCATGCAACAACTGATCATCCCCTGCAATGGCTTAATATTGCCCTGTGTTCAGTGACTTGGCTGCCGTGCTGCATGCCAGCTATGGAGGGAGAGAGATGAAATGAAATGATCTCAATGGGAGGAAGAGAATGATGCCGAGAAATTAAAATCTCTCTTGTGTTCATGCATTCAATTTGCTTCTGCACATGCTCATTCACTCATCCAGTCAGTCGCTCACTCACTCACTGGGCTCAGTGACCTAGCTTTGCTACTACTAGCTCACTCATCATTCTCTTTGCTTCCTTCACCAAACTTCAGATTTCCAGTCCCCTGGATTGGCTTCCTCTGCAACCATCACATAAATTTCCTCTGCCTCCATGTCTGTACTGACTGCCTCTCTAACTACTCAGCTTTTGTGTGTGTGATGGAGATAGAGATGGCATCTGATTTGGCATTGGCACTAGTAGTACTTTGTACTAGATTTGCTTGCAAGTTGCAGCCTCTGAAAATCTGAATGTTAGTTGAGGAGGCCTGGCCCTGTGTCCTAACTCCTAATGCACATATGCATGGCATCTTCTCTGGTTTTGCATCATTCATTCATGCATGCATGCATGCAAATGAGGGGGTAGTAGTCAGTAGATCATAGATGTGTCCAGGCTGAAATGCAAAAAGTAAAAAGGGATCCCTGCAGAGATCTCCAATTTCTTTCACTCTTTCAGAACAAAAGGGGCTCCCTTGTGGCCTTGTGCTTGCAGGAAAAGCCCAAACCCTGCATCTTTCAGGCTCTTGCCCCACATGTATTATGTACATGATTCGTAAACACACAGCTAGCACATAGTGTTCCCGGCATAAAAAAAAGAAAAAAAAAGAAAAAAAGAAAAAAAAAGAAGCTAGCACATAGTGTAGCCCTGTTTCGAGGAGCTTCTCGGAGCCATGGCTTCTCTCGAAATCTTCGACTCCCTCAAACAGAATCCTAATTAATTCTTTAACAAAATTCCAAGAATTTATAGTTGTAAAATCTAAAAAAATAAACTAGAAATCAGGAAATACAAAATCCAGTTTAGTTTTACTTTTTCAGATTCATTCATTCATACAAAATCCAGCTAGCTACTCATCTTAGCTGCTTCTCAGAATTTCGAGCTTCCCTGAACATATAACCATGTACTATTTCTTGCTTGTTCTTCTCTTCTTCTACATCTTGCATTGTATCCGTGTGGATCATGCATGCATTGTCTGGCCCATCTGGTTTGTTAACTTGTTGAGAGCATGCTTGCTTGCACAACAGTACAAAGCCAGATGTGTCCTACAAAGTTGCAGACTTGTAGCTGCACTAGCTTACACATCCATGGCCTATTCCACTGTAGGAATATAAATATACATACACACACACATCTATACAAATACATGTCTAGCTATACTAGCTAGTGGTTCTCATCACTTGCATATATACATACATGCCAGTACAGGATCAGGTTCAATTGCTTAAATTGTACAAGTTCCTATCATTGACCAGCCTGGCTATAGCTTAGCTCGAGCCAAAATGCCAAACAGATTAGTTTAATCAATTAGATGCATAACTAACTAATAATCAGTAACGACAAGCTTGCAGCAACAAAACAAAGCACTTAATCAGCAGCCAGGGTACAACTAGAAGAGACAACACAGCATGTCCTTTTCGTTTTCTTTTCCTTCTTCTTCGATCCTCTTCTCTCTTGCTTGAAGATCTTGATTCTTTTTCTACATCTAGATAAAATTAAGCCTAACCAATAATTAATTAACCACACTTTTTTTTTCAGTTCTGAAATCAGAATAATAATCTTAATTATTGCATGCTTAATTAGATTAATTAATTAATTAATTATCTCCATCTAGCTGTCTGCTTCTCTGCTCTTGTAATTCTTGCAGCTGCAGATGCTAGCTTTGCATGCATGCATGCAAACCATTTTGCATGGAGGAAACCTTAAACACAAGTACCACCATTTTCTCTTCTTTTTTTTTTTGCTCTATTAATTGTTTCTTTTTTTTTTTGCGTGAGATCGAGGTAGCTAGTAGCTATAGCTTATGCGTGGACGTCGGCGGCGGCGGCGACGTCGTCGTGTTCGTCGGCGGCGGCGGCGGCGTCGGTGGAGACCATCTTGAGGGCGGAGCCGCCGGTGGCGAAGGCCTTCTTGCGGACGGCCATGTACTCCGGCCACGTGACAGCGCGGTAGGCGGGGCTCCGGCCGGCCGGCACGGCCTCCGGCAGCGGCGCCACCTCGGCGTCCGGCGGCGGGCCGAGGAAGTAGCCGAGCGAGACCCGGTCGCGGTCGCGGTTCACGACGGCGCGGTGGTAGACGCTGTGGAAGCGGCCGTTGGTGAGGATGTGGAAGAGGTCGCCGACGTTGACGACGAAGGCCCCCGCCACCGCCGGCACCGCCACCCACCGGTCGGGCCCTCGACGGAACAGCTGCAGCCCCGGGACGAGGCTCTGGAGCACGAAGGTGAAGAAGCCCGAGTCCGTGTGCGCGATGAGCCCCAGCGCTCGCCGCGGCTCCGGGCACCTCGGGTACCAGTTGAGGTGCACCGTCGCCGTCATCCTCTCGCCGATCCTCCTCTCCGCCTCGACTCCGGCGACCTCCTCGCCGGTGAGCCCCAGCGCCCTCAAGAACAACCTCAGCAACTCGTCGGCTAGCCGCCGCATCTCCTTGTGAAACTCCTCCATCACGTCACTGCGTATATTATACGTAGATCAATACGTAGATATATACGTAGAGGTAGATATATACGTAGAGTGTATGTGCATGGAATGCATGGGAGAGTATATATGTATATATACCAGAAGAGGAGGTAGTCGTCGCCGGACTTGGGCCAGAGGCGGCGGAGCTCGGAGCGGAGGGAGGAAGGGGAGAAGGTGTAGCCCTCGGACCACATGAGCTTGGAGAAGAAGGAGGAGATGGGCGGCGAGCCGTAGCCGCAGGGCTCGCCGGGGCCGCGGACGGCGCGCATCTTCTCCGACGCCGGCAGGGAGAACACGCGGGCGACGCGCTCCTCGACGCGCGACAGCAGCGCCGCCGGCACGCCGTGCCCGACCAGAAGGAACGCGCCCCACTGCTCCGCCGCCCGCGCCACCCGCGCCGCCGCGTCGCCCGCCCCGACGTCCACCACCGGCACCGCGTCCTCGCCGCCGCCGCCGCCGCCGTCCACCACCGGGTGGTCGTCCAGCCCCGGCCACGCGTGCGTCTCCGGCACCCGCCTCGCCGCCCGGAAGTCGAAGCAGAGCGGGTTCTTCAAGTGCGACGGCGTCGGCATCGCGACGACGACGACGATGACCAGAGAGCAACACACTCGCGCGCTCGCTCGTCTCGTCTGGCAGAAAGCCAGTAACAATAACAACACTAATTTTTTCTCTCTATATAAATTTTTTCTATGACTTTACAATAGTGGAATGAGTAGTAAAGTGAGACGAGTGTAAGAACTGGACAAGTACAAGGGAGAGGTATATATAGGGAGAGAAGTTTTGGAGCGTAGTGGAAGAAAAAAAAAGAGAGAATTAATTGGTGAATAAATCAGTGATGAAGAATTGAAATGGATCATTAATTAATAGATTTGGAGAGGAAAAAATGTGGTGATTGGGACAGAGGGTTTGGAGTGATGTGGAGCACACAAGGCCACCAGCTTAGCTACACAACACAAATCTAGCTAGTATGCTCATCACCACCCCCTGGCTGGCTAGTGGCACTGCCACCCAATTAATAACACACATATTCATACAAATTAAGTTATGTTATAGTAAAGTAAAATCACAATGTGAAATAAGCACCAGAGTAATTTTTAATTATCACATTACATAAAACAGATTAGGTAATTAAACATAGGAATTTCACAGGAACAGTAGCGTCCTCCGTTGCCGTGGTGTTTTTTTTTAATTCGTCTGTCTGCTTTAGAACCAAACATTCTCACATGCAGCCACTTCTAATTAATTATGATTACCGTATAATTCTCATACACGTCGAATTTCATTCGATATTTTACTTTCAGTAGCAAGATCTTCATGCTAGTTCCCATATACAGTACTACATCCGTTTCAGGTTATAAGACGTCTTGACTTTAGTCAAAATCAAACTGCTTTAAGTTTGACTAATTTTATAGAAAAAGTAGTAATATTTTTAACTCAAGACAAATTTATTATGAAAATATATTTAATTAACTAATTTAGTATTATAAATATTATTATATTTGTCTATAAAATTAGTCAAACTTGAAACAACATGACTTTGACTAAAGTCAAATCATTTTATAATCTGAAACGATAGGATTACGTCCTAATTTGTCGAGCACAGTACAATTACCAAGATTCAAACCGTGTTATCTACTTCTTCTTTTTTCAATATATTTACTAAGAAGACTAACCTTATATTACAACTACAAAAATAAACAAAACAAAACAAATATAAACAGTAAATTGTTTAGAAAACAGCACACAGATTCTAGAACAGCAAACAAGAGAAAAGACAGCACTAGTCTGCAGCCACGAGTAAAAACAGAGGACAGAGGCCATGATCATCATCATCCATCCATCCATGAATGGTTGCTAATACATTACAAAATTAACACAGAGACAGAGAGAGAGAGAGAGAGAGAGAGAGAGAGAGAGGATGCATTGGGTCTGGAGGTAGGCGGCGATGGAATGGCCGGCCGTGCGTGGAAGGGAAGGGACAGGGGGATGATCGAGAGATGGCGGCGACTAGGGGCGGCGGACGATCGGCGGCGAGGTGTCGCCGGCGCCTTCTGGATGCGTTGTCGGGATCGATGGAGCAGAGGGCGCGTCGCCATTGGGTGGGATCCGTGCAGCCCCGCCGCCGCCCGCCGCTTCCCACGCGCTCTCCACCAATTTCTCCCTTTTCTCTCTTTAGGCTACGTACGGCGCCGCCCTGGAACCATTCTTATTTCTTATTTAAATATAAACAAATAATAATGCGGTAGTATATAAAAATTTGTATATAAGGATTCGAGTCCACTCTAGTTCCTGAATATATGTCTAATCCTCATCATGATTTTTTCTGCACTATATTTCTTTTATTTTAGTAACAATAATAATGCAATGGTCTAGGTTTTACCTTTTCTTTGCAAAATAATGTTGATTATTATGCTAAATATTAAGAAATGATTACAACCATATTTTTTTTAGATAATTGATTTTCATTAGTCCGGCCTCTATATCTACGAGGGATATACAAAATCAAAATGATACAAGAACAATTAGACTCACATCTCAACAAAGAGAACACAAAACCAAAAAAAAAGGGAAAAAAAAACACTACGACCTCTATACATCCCTGCTTCCCCACATCCTCTCTTGAAGTGGCCAAATTCAACGAGTGGAAGTCATCTAATTGCCATCACCCCTAGTGCGTTGTCGCTACGAAATTCCGCTGGTGCTATCTTCATCCGCTTCAAGTGAGCTGACGCCACGTGACGCCGGTTAAACCCCACTCATCCATCGTCATACAGTCAGAACTAGCCGACCAGATGTGAGCCAAAAGGATCAGCTTCTGCTTCATTGGATTCCTAGACCTCCATCGACATCAGAATCCTCCTCCGCCTCTCAGACCCCTAGCCCGTTGCCGCCGCTATTGGAGTCCTCAACAGCTGTCACCGAGGATATCCTCTTTCGTCCTGACTCCGAGGCCTTTGCCGCCCCTAGCTAGGGCCACTGCCACCGCCGGGATCGGCCTCCTCCTCACTAAGATCCTTGTACCGGCACTTAGGCCACCGCCGCCCCTAGGGCCGCAGTTACCGAAGCTGAGGAGGTCTTCTACCCGGACTCGCAGGCCGCTATCGCCCCTAGGGTCGCTACTGCCTACGAAACCACCTTTACCGGATTCGCCTTCTTCTTGCCGAGGACTATTCGTCGACGCTTAGGACGCCGCCATCCTCCGCCGCACCCTTCGCTGTCGTGCTCCGCAGCACCTGCCACCCAAAGAGACATCGTCGCCAACGTCTTGCTGCTACCTGCCGCAGCGCCGCCCTCCTGACCTTCTCCGCTGCAACGCGTGGCCCACCGCCGCCCATGGCCCCGCTGACTACAACCATATGTTATTACATGGGGAAAATTCAGACATGCTAGTCATACGCACACAGATACCCCGTATCTTAGAATGCCACGAGAGATGTATTTTGTTTCGAACGTAAAGGGGGCCATTTGCCGGTACATTTCCCATATTTCACAATCAATGGAGCTCCGGCGAAAAGTCCCGTTGGGCCTTTCTCCTATGGGGAATGGAAAGTTGTAAACCAAATATCTTTTACAAGTCATATACAGCTCAAGGCAGGAGTGTGGAATTGGTGAGGAAAAGGCCAAAAGAATGGGAGTCTTGCACCTTTTTCTTGTTTTGGTAAATACATTGCATAACTAACACGTATTGTGCTCTTATATGCTAAACGCGCCAAATGATCAAACAATTACGTCAAGGGCAGTCCAATATCCCTATTTTATTGTTAGGGTTAAAATAGATGTACATCTCCTTATGCATGTTGGGAATTCTATGGGAACATCTTCCAAAATTAATGTGCAAAATGATTAACCCAATCGGCTTGACGAATAGCTTTCGGGGCCACTCTATTTTTTCCCCTACAATTTTGCTCATTTCAACAATTTATTTATCATAAAACCTATACTAAATGTTTAACCCTCCTAAGCTCCATAACTAATCACTTCTGCACGGAAAACGGAGTGGTCTATTAACGTGTGATTAATTAAGTATTAGTAGTTTTTTTTTCAAAAATAGATCAATATGAGTTTTTAAAGCAACTTTCATATAAAAATCTTTAAAAAATACACCGTTTAGCAATTTGAAAAGCATACGTATGAAAAAGAGAGGTACGAGTTGGGAGCTATGGGTACTGAACTCAGCCTAATTGTATTTATACACACATGCCTTTTCCCTCCTTTTAATTGAGTATTCCCACTAACAATTTATCCATTATTGGTTCATATTCGCTGAAAGGAGCCCAACAAATCGTGTGATAGCTCAGCGGCTAATTACAACAATTTCCATAGATACCATGGATGATCTTATTTTTCTTTACCTAAACATGTACTCTCTCCATCCCATAATATAAGGGATTTTGAAATTTTGCTTGCACTGTTTGACCACTCATATTATTTAAAAAATTTATGTAAATATAAAAAGTAAAAAGTTGTGCTTAAAATACTTTAGATAATAAAGTAAGTAAAAAAGTAAATAATAATTCTAAAAGTTTTTTATAAGACGAATGGTAAAACAGTACAAGTAAAATGTTTAAATCCTTATATTAGGGGACGGAGGGAGCATAACACCCTGAAATTATCTATTAATTGTGAGTGAGAGGTGACAAGCTGCTAGTTGCTGCTATCCAACTCACAAAACTCTTCTGAAACAACGAGGAGAAGAAAGACAAGCTGTCAGACAAACGATGTGCTACACACTTGTTGGTCATGTTGTTCTTATCCCCTGGAATAAACTACAACCGTACAAAATTCAGGGAAAACTTTTTTAATGGCAAACAGTTTAATTTGAATTTCGCGAGGATAAATTTAAGTCACCGCGTGTGAAAATGTCCAAGGAGAAAATCAAATTCGCCATGGACGGTTGTCCGTTGGTTTGTCCTGACCTGATACGAGATGAGTGTATAGCATGTAGCTGGGACCCACATTGAGATCTCACCTCCAAATTAACAAACCAAAGGCGAATGATTGGGCACAGTAGAATTAATTTTTATTAACCACACCTGATAGCTAAGCTAAGGTTCCTTCTGTCCTTTTCTTTTACTTTGTCAAGTTAAAACTTTTGGACACCTAGTGTGCTTTTCCCACTTTAATTATTTTGCTTTTTTGTTTTTTGGTTTTACAAGAAGAGTAGCTCTGAAAGCCACTAAAATGTCGACAAAAAATGCTGAATTAAATACCAGTAATAGAAACAGAACAAAAACCAGATCGAGCTATATGAATCGATAGGAACATATTTTTGAATAATAATAGAAATATTATATTAGTCCAAATAAACATGAGAAAAACAACTTAATTGGTAAATGAAAATACACTTGTCTCAACTCAATTTGATTTGCATCACACCTCAATTTACAGTAGTACTACTACTTTCTTCTTCTCAAGTTATTTTTCTTGGAATCTTTTTGGGATATAGTAAATGCAAAAGATTTCATTAACAAGTCAATTATGTTCTTCACAGCAGAGGGGCATATATACATTTTTTTTTGCAACTACAAATTCTAACCAACTGCATTGCGACAGCAAGCCCTGTCACCAAACCACAGTACAGCCCGCTAATAATAGAAAAATGGACAGGGTTGCATGGCACTTTTGGGGTATCTTTTGTCCAATATTGAGTGTAGTAGCTAGTAGATCACCATGCACAGAGTACTCTAGTCAGTGCATCCTATGGACTCTCTAGCCTTAGGACGACCTCAATGGTTGGAGCCATCCA